CTTAAAGCACTTGTTGCAGGCTGCTGAGTTTGCATCTTTTGCTGTGAAGTACAGCCAGACTTTTGACCGCTTCGCCTTGGGCATTTTTAATCTGTAGCTCTGCTCTAAAAGAACGTACGTACCTGGACCCGCCTACTATCCTCGGAAAGGTAAAATGATTGGCTAGAATTCAACATGTATCACATCTCAGGAAAAAAAAGCACCGAAATAAAGCACCGAAATGTGCACTGCTTTTCGGTCTGGTTACTACCGTTTATGTCAGAACCGGTGCCATCATGGCACCGGATACCGGTACCCATCCCTAGTTATAAGTAGGTACTACAAGGGCCTAGTTACTGTGTGGTTGGCACATGTTATAAACAGACCCCTGAGTGAATTACTTTCATCAACTGATTGATCATGCAGTGATTTTACAGGTCTGTAAACATGAGATGTCTGCAAAAGTATTCACTCACCCGTTCAAATAATTGAATTCAGGTGTTCTGCTCACTGTCATCAAATCAAAATTTATTTCTATAGCACATATTAGAAATTATTTATTATTTATTTATTTATTTAGAATTTAAAAGTAAACTAAAGAATTTTAAAATCTATAGGAAATTTAACAGGGAGCCAATGTAAGTTGGCTAAAATTGGAGTGATGTGATCATAGATTCTAGTACCTGTTAAGAGACGCGCAGCTGCATTTTGAACTAACTTAAGCCGGTAAAGAGAAGAGTGTTGGAGGCCCAAGTAGAGGGAGTCGTAGTAGTCCAGTCTGGATGTGATGAATGCGTGGATAAGTTTTAAAGGAAGGAACGGCTTTGCTTTAGATATCTGACGCAACTGGTAAAAGCTGTTTTTTACCACAGTGGAGACCTGTTTCTCTGATTTAAAAGAGCTATCCAGGAACACTCCGAGGTTTCTTACAGTGAGCGAGAGATGGCTAGCAAGAGGACCACAGGTGTATAAAATCAAGCACCTAGGCATGCAGGCTTCTTCTACAAAGATTTGTGAATTCAGGAGCTCAGTGAATTCCAGCTTTGTACCTGATGCTGAGGCACATAGTGCACAGAAGTCCCCAACTTTATGTAGAGTCAGTTGCTACAGACCTCTGAATGTGACCTTCAGTTTAGATCAGAACATTACAGAATGGGTTTCTATAGCCAAGCAGCTGCATTCAAGTCTTACATCAATGAGTGCAATGCAAAGTGTGGATGTAGTAGTGTAAAGCACACCACCACTGGACTCTACAGCAGTGAAGTGACGAATTGCGTATAGCCCCAAGTTCTGGTTGACAATAAAGGGAGTAACTGAATCGCACCTCTCCGTCTGGCACTCCAATAAAGGAGTCTGGGTTTGCCACTGCACTGTGCCAAGTGTAAAGTTTGGTGGAGGTGGTTTATGATGTGGGGTTGTTTTTCAGAAGTTGGGCTCAGCCCCTTTGTTCCAGTGAAGGGAACTCGTAATGCTTCAGCATACCAAAACATTTTGAACAATTTCATGCTCCCAACTTTGTGGTAACAATTTGGGGAACGCTCCTTCCTGTTCCAAGATGACTGCACACCAGTCAACATGCAAGGGCCATAAAGACATGGATGGCAAGTTTGGTGTAGAAGAACTTGACTGGCCTCCACAGAGTCCTGACCTTAGCTTGACAGAACACCTTTGGGATTAATTAAACTGGAAACTGCGAGCTAGGATTTCTTGTCCAACATCAGTGTCTGACCTCATTAATCCACGTCTGGAAGAATGGTCAAAAATTCCTATAAACACATATTCTTAAACCTCGTGGAAAGCGTTCCCAGAAGAGTTGAAGCTGTTATAGCTGCACAGGGTGGGCTGAGATCATATTAAACCTGAGCGAATACTTTTGGTTATATAGTGTATTGTGAATATTCACAAAACTCCTGCTGTTTGTTTTTACACCACCAACAAAATGATCATAACATCACTCTGTTGTCTCTACTGAATGGTTTCCATTTTAGTCTACTCTGTTATTGCTTAGTAGTTGTATTTTTTAAAACGTGTGTGTCTGTTTTTAGGGTTCAATAGTAATAAATGAAAATGAGGCCAAGGTAGTGGACCGCTACCTGAACTTCCAGAATGGCGTGGCCTATGGCATCGACCAGCTGCTGGAACCTGCTGGCCTCGGGGCATTCTGTGACACCATCGAGAACAGAACCACTTACGTGAGTAACACTAACAATGCTACCGCTTCAACACCAGTACCGCCACAGGGGGAGTCATTTTACTGTGTGCTCCAACAGCACTAGTAAATGCAGTGATGTAATTTACTAAAGAAATTATGTTGTTTATTTTCATCTGATTTTCAAAATTATAATCAAAAGGTTCTCAAAATAAAAAAAGAAATCTGGGTATTGGGTTCATTAGTTTTGATTTAGACTGATTAGAAAAGGCTAGGTAAAGTATTCGTTTGTTACTGCAGGTAAAAAATTAAGCTAAACATAACAAATGGAAATGCTTATGTAAATGGTGAAACGTAACCTAAATTTAGAATGAATACAATAAATTAAGTATTATTTATATAGTATAGCTCCAAGTTCTGGTTCAGAGTAAGTAAGCAGGTAAGCAAGTCTCAGTTTCAGCTGTGGAGAAAAGACTTTGAACCGCGGGTTTGACAGGATGAGTTGCAGCAAGAAAGCCATTGCTAAGACATCAGAATAAGACAAAGAGGCATGCCTGGGCCATGAAACACTGCCATCGGACCACTGAAGACTGAAAAAAAAGTTTTATGGACTGATGAATCATATTTTGAAATCTTCAGTTCATCACACAGGATCTTTTTATGCTGTCAGGTAAGCGAAAGGATGGTTCCACATCGTGTGGCATCAACTGTCAAACATCGACAAGGAAGTGTGGTTGTCTGGGGCTGTTTGTGCTGGAGTCAGGGTCCATGATTTCTTTTTAAACTCAAATTGCTTATTTTACTATGCTTTCATTTCAGTGTGCAATGTGAAATTAAACTGCATAATCTTTAATAAAAAATTGTTCTAAAATTTTTGACCAGTAGTGTATGCACAGAAAAGGAACCGAGACATATAGCAGATTAGATAAAAGTTGAAATTAAAATTAAAACAGATCTTTGATCATAGGATTTATTTTAAAATTTAGGAAGCTAAATTGTTTATTAGCTTCTTCTTGTGTAGAGTAGGAATAGATCATACAATTGCCTCTGGCCATTAGCAACCAAGCTAACAACTAAGCTAAGCTTTGTTTTACTAAATTGTTGGGATTGAATAATGTGTAATTCCCAGGATGAGCGCCAGGTGAATAAACACCTGTCATGCGAAGGCTGTGTGCAGGCAGGAGTGGTGGTAAGGAGGACCCAAAGTACAGACTCCGGAGACAAACGTGAACTCAAAAAAAAACCCAGCTGTAATGCTGAACTCAAAGTAACAAACTTCAAAAATACAAAGAATAAACGCAGGCAGGCAGGCAGGCAGGCAGACAGAACACAAAGCATGAATGAGGGTAGATCGTGACACAGACAGACGAAAACACAGGGCTTATATACACAGAGTGAGCAATCAGGGAATGAGAGACAGGAGGGAAACACAGCTGGACAAATCAGGGCTGACGAGACAAAGGAAGCAAAACCAGACGCATTAACATGAGACACAGATTTTTAAAGTAAAACAGGAAACACAGATTGAACTTACAGACACAGACTCACAAGCAGGCACTGCAACAGAGGGAACAGAGACGTGGGACCAGGGCAGACACAGACACTGACTGGACACAAAATAGAGGGAGTAAGGAAAGCAAAACTTCAGAACTAAATAATCACACACCAAGAAAAACTGGGGAAAAATAGAAATGCAAAACAGAAACCAAAACTTTCACAAAAATAAACCAAGATGACAGCACAAATAAAAGGTACAAAACTGAAACCACTGGGTCAACGACCCACGTACCCTAACAAGACCAGAAAACTACAAAGGCTCTCACATTAGCATGTGCCCTGGTGGATTAAGTAGGGCTTTAACCCTGTTATCTCGTGACAAATAATCATTATCTCACTTATCTTAAATATTTCAGGGGCGCTGTGGAAACTGCATCTTCACTCCGTCCTGTCCCTTCAAACACTATGACACGGTAAGGTCTGCTAAAGCATGTGAGCATTAGCTGCTTATAGATAAAGACTGTAGAGATAAATATCATTTCTGTATTCTTCCAGGGAAAGAGGGAGGGCTGTTTGAACTCACGCTCCAGGTATCGCTACTCATACTTGTATGATGACCTGGATCGTTTCAGCAGATATGGCTGTAGGAAAGTTTGTAGCTTTCCAGGCTGGGTACAGAAGTGCTGCAAAAACCACTTCGGGCGAGACTGTCAAGGTAAGAGGGGAAGGGATGGAGGCACTTATGTGAGGAATTGTGCTTTTGTTTGTACAGAGATGTTCTTGGTTTTTGCAGCTTGTTTAAAGACTGAGTTACAAATTCTGAAAGTCACAAGGTTTAGTTTGGATATTCAAGTTGTTGAATTTATGTAGTTTTTATTGAAAGCATGTTTTCTCAAAAATATTAGTCACACTTCTGGTTGGCTAGATATTACTGATGCTTACTTAGTTTAATATCCAAGTGAGAAAAATGTGGACTTACAGTCTTTCTAAACTGCTGTGAAAAAGTATTTTGTCCCCTTCCTGATTTCCTGATTTCACACTGACATGTTTCAGATCAGGAATCAGATTTTAATATTAGACAAAGATAATAATAAGATACCAATACACGAGCCAAGATAAGAGATGGACACATGACAACTCACATCTACCGGACATGACACAAGACCACATCCATCCTTGGATGAACAATGCCTGATACAGATACGTGTTTAACACAACATGTGGGAAACACACTGTAACATGTGCACCAATTCTGATCTCTGATCACACTTTCAGAATGACTTGTGTAAAGTGCACATCAACATCAACATCCTCATCCAGGAAGAAGCGCTCAACTTTAACAGATTCTAAAGAGACTGTTGATCAGCGTTGGAGTTTCCCTGGTTTTATTTTTGCTTTTTCTTTATTTGTGTTATCCCTTGTTTAAAAGCTGTAATTTCACAGATGATAGCGACATCACTCACAGCATATGCAGATGTACCACAAACTGATGAGGATCATGAAGACTTCTTTTCCTATTTGTTAGATGAAGATGAAGTGCAACTAATGATGTAGTAACTGAAAATGTGAAAGACAAGTAGTTACTTACTGATAACATGTACATTTCATTTCGTGATAAACAGGAGGGAATGTCAGAAGAAAATTGTACATAGTGTGATCAGCTACATGAAATGTGCTCTTTTTATGGATCACTGAGCAATCCACATGTCTACGTGGCTTTTCACATAAACTCTTGTGTGATAAACTTATTTAGCAACTAACAGCTTCCTCTATATTAAGAACATACAGACTTAGAAAAGGGGAACCTCAGCTCTGAGTTCTTAGAATAACTTTGTTATCTTTGTACACACATGTGACAAGCTTGTATAAATAAAGAACGCAGACAGTGACAGAGCGCGAGTCCGTGAGTGCCTCCTGCGAGGACGAGCGCTCAGTGCCCTCGCGAGTAAAGACGACTGCAGTGTTTGTGTTTTCTAACTCAGGTGTCTTAGTTCTTCAGCTAAGAAGGTTCAGTAGCTTCAGTAGCTGAAGAACTGTGGAAGCTGTGGAAGCTGTTAGTTGCTAAATATGTTTATCACACAAGAGTTTATGTGAAAAGTCACGTAGACATGTGGATTGCTTAGGATTGCAAGTTAAATTATATTTAAGTTAGATATAATTTAACACAAGTTAAATTATATTTAACTTGTGTTATCTACATGTGACAAATATGTAAAAAGCTAGGAAATCAAGGAGGGGGTAAATACTTTTTCACAGCACTGCAAGCCGTCTTGGTAATGCCTATAGGCAGTTATTTTGAAGCCCCTGGAGTAAAACCTTTTTTCAGAGGTCACAGGGACATGAAAGCTGGGTAGGGCTGGGTGTGCCATTATGTTTACCTTTGCAGAATTCTCCCACAGACTTCCATCTCTGTCAGGTCCCACTGAGCAAAGTTAATAAAGACTGGAAGAGAGTTTCTTTTTTTCTTTGTTTCCATGCTATGTTTTGACCCTTTTCTTCTGTCTGTTGCAGTTTGTTCAGGTGGTTTGGAGGCCCCTTGTGGCAAACATGGCGACTGCAACGACGGTAATCTCGGTACTGGAACATGTAGATGCCACACCGGATTCAGAGGGGAATCCTGCGAACTGTGTGCCGCTGGGTTCTATGGCCCTAACTGCACAGGTAAAATGCTTTTTAGTTTTTATCATCGCTCAGTGGAAAAACAAAGAGAGTGCACCTTTTGTAGATAAGGTCTGCTCTCCAACAGCTCTTCAGAGGTGGCTGTTGGAGAGACCAAACAGCCACTTCATAAATGCATGGCACAACATAGAAGAACCCCTCAATGGGACAAGACTCAGCGGTTCATCTGCATCTAAAGGACAAAGGTCACTCTTTTGAGGATGCCAATGTTCACATTTTGGACAGAGAAGGCAGATGGTTTGAAAGAGAAATGAAAGAAGCCATCGATGTCACCATCTTTGAACAGAGGCGGTGGCTTACGACACCAACTGTCTGCCATCTATTATCCAATTTTGAAATCCCTTCCCAGACGCCTTAATGCCCACTCACATCCTGGGCCATCTGACCTCAGGAAATCACATGATAAGGTGGGTCTAGGTTTCACAGTGGGTTCATCCGAAACCTTGGCTGACTGTGACCCACACCCGTTTTCACACCTTGGCTCGTGTGATTAGGTAGAGGATCAATAGGGGGTCCATGACCCTTTTGGGGGGACACTCCCATAGGGTATAAAATCTGGAATTCTCCACCAGTTGCTCTTAGAACTCAAGAAGCTTCTCGAATGAGAGGTGAAACATCTTCAAGAAACCTAGAAAAGTCCAGACGCTTTTCTTTCCAAGCCCCTCAGACTACGATGACCTGGATGACTGAGAACCTTCACAGACTTTTGATGAGGGAGGTTTTCCTTTAATTTCCTGCTTCCAATGCTGTGTAGTGCTCACTGATGAACAAGAATATCTGGTAATGAGCCAAAGTTAGCGCGATAGGCTGATTTTCATATAAATGCTCAGTTCTTAGAACGCTTTCTAGAAATAAGACCAGAAGATAATCAAAAACAATCACAAGCAACATCCATAAGTGAAGACTGACTCTGGCATGGAGGGAATTCTCACTTCACAGCTTCCTCCTCCATCCTCACACCTTTTCCTCACAACTCTCCCACTTGACTGGGAAGAGCTGAGGAAGGGAGGAGACATGTGAGTGCAATGAAAAGCAGCACTTCAGGCAGCAGCTCTCTACCACCTGCAGGGGGCAGTGCACAGAAATGCAAAATCTCAATCATAAATTTGGTGCACAATTTTGGTATTAAAAAAGCAGTGTTAAAAGTCTAAAAATAAGAGGAGGGTGTGTTTCAGCCCTTTGATGTATTCACCATGGCTACGTTGTAACCCTTTAATACGCTGTGGTGCAAGAAAGTAGCAAATCTGGCATCAGCAGACAGTCTCACCCCCATCAGCTCTCCAGCAGTCTGTCACCATGGCAACGCTCCACACTCACCATCACACAGCTGGGTGTGTTTCCAGCTCAGGACAAACCTGCCAGCTGTCTTCGCTTAGAGCCAAACCACCAGAGCAGATTTTTTTGTTTTTCTTTAAATGTGGATACGGCTGCTCATCTTTGCCTGTTTGAGTTTAACAGTCTTTATTAAATCCAACTCCACTCAGTGCTTCTCCACAGAGGAACACAGGTGTGTCCTCGCTATGGAGGAGACAGCAGAGGTGTCAGTTAGAGCTGGAGTCGATTTGAAACTGTTCGTCACAGCAGGAACAAAACACGTCGCCATGGTTGCTCAGTTCATCCAGAGCAGATTGAGGTCTACAAAGAGCACTCTGCAGCTTTAGTTAAAGTGAAGCTGTTGCATAACAGCTCTTATAAAAAACAATGAAACTTTTGATGAAAAAAACAGCATTTATGTAATATTTAATTAACCCATGATTATTAATTCATGTGTGTTACAGCAATTAAAATATTAGTATTATTAACAATAATAATAATACTAATAATTATATCTGACAGATGTCTCTCAGCCTAAAAGATGATATATTGTATTAAAGATGGTGACAACATGAAGCTTTCCTGTCTCTGTTCTTGTGGCAGCAGAGCTGAATCAGTCTTTTGGGGAAGATGCTCCGCTGCCTCCTAGTAAGCAGTGCAGAGGGTGGCCAGGATTATCCATTATGGATAACAGCTGGTGCAGTGACCATCTCTTACCAGCTCTGATGTTTCTCACAGCTGACTGATAGAAAATATCCATTATGTTTCTGCACATGTTGAAGAGCTTGCTCACCCCTTCTTGTATACAGCCTTCCAGTTTAGTCTGTTTTTCATGTGGATGCTCGGCTACTTATACTCCTCCACCACATCGACATCCTGTCCCAGGATAGACATGGGCCATGTAGCCATCCTTGATGCTAAATGGCCTTTATTTGTATAGCGCTTTACTTAGTCCCTATGGACCCCAAAGTGCTTTACACTACATTCAGTCATCCACCCATTCACACACTGGTGATGGCAAGCTACATTGTAACCACCAAATCTGACGGAGCTATGCCATTCTAACATATTGAAGACTGACTGTCAGGTAGTCAGTAATCCATGAGATGGTGGACGTGTTCACTGATATTTTCAGGAGCTTCTCTCTCAGAAGCAGCAGCTGAATCATTTCAAATTGACTTGATAAATCATAGAAAGTATCCTCACTATGCAGCTGTTACTCTCCAGATTGGGAGTAGGTTCTCTGCAGCATGAAGATGATTGAATCATCCACTCCCAGATTTGATTGGTGTACAAACTGCAGAGGATCAATAGATGTTTCCACCTGTGGTCTCAGGTGAGCCAAAACTGGTGTTTCCAGTACCTTCTTCACATGCGACGTGAGAACAGCTGGTTGATAATTGTTAAGCTCTGATGGTGTCAGCTTCTCTGGTAGAGAGGATGTTATCTATAACGCTGATTTGTTCTCCTCTGTCAGACTCAGGCTGCAAATGTGACTCAGGTTCACAGACAGCTCACCAACATAGATCCTTGGAGCATAAATAAAATCAAAAGCATAATATTAAAATAAGAAATATGACAAAAATTAGATTTATGCTGTGTGATTTATGAAGTGGACCTTATCTGCTTTTCATTTTTTATATTTTAAAAATAATGTTGCTCATATAAAACATAATCCAGATGTGAGCCCAAAGCTCAGGCTTCAGGCTGCTCTAAATGCTCATTTCACAGTTTTTCCTACTTTTGGCTCTGCCTCATGTCAAAGGAAGGGGACAACTGGTGAGCACAGAAACTCCACCATTTTTAAACCTTCTGTTTGTGAGTTAGAGCCAATCAGAAGAAAGTTGGCTTAAAGTAAGAGGAGCTAAATCAACTTGTTTTAGACAGTGGATGAACTGAGGGGCTGCAACAAGGCCTGGTATCAGTTTAACAATAAAAACATAGAGCTGAAAATGAACATGTAAGGTCCATTTAAACTGCATTGGGGGAGCAGTAGATAACTTTGAACTATGACTCTTACAGCTGTACTGATGATTAAACGGACAAAGCCACAGGTCATCAAAACCATCGAAGTCACATAATTACAGATCACAGACAGAGCCAAACTACAACTGCAGGAAGTCTGGACGCCTGAAATAACCTGCCTGTTCTCACATCAGTGTTGGACTAGAAAATGTGTCAAGTCTTGTTTGTCTCTCTCAGCCTGTTCCTGCAGGAACCAGGGAAGGTGCAATGATGGCATTGGAGGATCTGGACAGTGTATCTGCAAGCCGGGCTGGGAGGGCGATCGCTGCCAGAACAAAATAGGTGAGATTTCTTCTTGAATGCACAAAGATATGAGACCCTGATTGGGTTTTAATGGTCAACAAAGCTCATGAAAAGAGCCACTGGTTGGTACTGAGGTTGTAAAAATTCTAAAACATCCTACAAATGTATGATTTTTGTTTATTATTTCTTAAATAAAGCTCACAATTTTTTTAAACAGATGGATACCTTGGTAACCATTAAGGCATGGTTAAATTATCCCTAAACCAAGCCCGTGGTCATGTTAAACCTTAACCAAGTTATTATAAAACAATGAATCTGAGGTGCTTTCTTTTATTTTATCATGTATACTGTTACAGTGGTAAATATTTACTTTAAATAAGGTCGGAGTTGCAAATAATGAGGTGAGTGCCTGTAATACCTACTGTATGAGCAGACTATCTTCATGGCTTTGTACACAGGTCAGGCATAACATTATGACCACTGACAGATATAATGCCATCCATCCATCCATCTTCCTCCGCTTTATCCGAGGCCG